CAACTTTTCCAACATGCGCTGATACTGTGGAGAAGCCCTTGAGACCCCGTGGCCTGGCAATGGAAGCGCGATCCTCCTAGGTTCTAGTGACTGAGCCTCTGGGGCTCTCGGAGGAAGCAAATGTGCATCCCCCGGTTCGGAAGGTTCGTACTCTTGAAGATCCGGATCATCTTCAGGAGCAAGAGGAGGAGGAGCCGGTTCCTTGGGTTCCTTTCCCTGAGGAAAGCTTCCCTTGGCTCGAATCCTTCTCTCTATCGGTACCTTTCCCAGAGGAAAGCTTCCGGATGCTCCTGTGTTCCTCGAGCTGTCTTCAGGCTTACCTTTGCTAATCATGTCCTCTGGGGATCCTACCTTTGCACGGGTTGGATCCTTGGACTTAGCTGGTACTGAGGTTCTACTCTCGATACCTCCAGGCAGAATCTTGAAGATAGTCCTACCGTTCCAGGAATCAATAGTCCTTGATGAAGAAAGCTCAGAAGAACGCCAGTCATCTTCTTGAGTAACGCTCTTTCCCTTGGAGAACTTCATGATCGTCTTGCGCTTGTTGCCCAGATACTCCAACGGAATAGGCACGAAGCCCGCCTTGGGTTCGTACTTAACCTTCCTCATCTTCTTGTGGATGCGAACCATCTCCATGTCGGCTTCATTGATCACCCGTTCATCATCCGTCGCCAACACGAGATTTTGGGGTACCTCTTCCTGAGAAGAGCATCCCACGGTCTTCTGATGGAAGCCGTACTCGTAGCGGGAGAAGTAGGTGAGGAAGCTCGACTTCTTGTGCTTGCTGAAACGCACATTCCACATCAACTGACTGAGTTCAAGAAGGTCAAGTACCAGGTGTGAGCTAGGTGCAACCTTCAGCTTCACATCCTTGATTCCCAGTACAGGGCTGCTAAGCAAGGCCTTTTCCGGGTGGAGTTCGAACTGGAAACGAAGATTGCGCATCTGCGGCAGGGACATAAGAATAGGAACATGCCCCTGCTCCACAACGTCGAACTCTGTGGATTGAACTGCATAATCCCGGTCGTACATGCAAATGACCAACTTCTGGTTGCACTTGGTCGACTCGGAATTGGCAAAGGTGAACTGAGAGGTGGTCTCAGCAATGGTGTACCATATGCCACAGTTCTGATTTTTGTCACAGAACTCCATAAGGTCCTGTGCGGCCACTCTCGAAGCCATTGCTCTCGTGCATCCCAAGTCCAACACCATCGCGGTTGGCGTCAAGGGCTGAGAGATGAAGGCTTCTTCGATCTCATTGATCTTCTCTTCGGTGGCCATGAAAGAAAGGGTTCGGAGAGTTGAAGTGTTCAACGAAGAAGGTTGTGGCGGCTGTGGTGCCGCTCGGGGCAGCATCAGCAAGCTGGGCTTGTCCGTCCTTTCCGGACTTTCCATCCTTTCCATCTTTGCCAAACTTGCTCTTTCCTTTGCCCTTCTTTCCTTTCTTTCCTTTTCCTTTGGCTGCATAGGACTCCTCAGACTCATACCAGGACCAGTCATCCCAGGACTGATCGCTCCACTGGTATTCTTGCCATTGTCCTTCTGCCTGCCATGCTTCTGATTCTTCGGCAAGGTTGGACCTGCCTTTCTTCCTCTTGAAGAAGCGCCTTCCTTTGGATCCTCAGCCACCTTTACCTTTTCCCTTGCGGTGGCCCTTGAATCCGCGCTTCATCTTGCGGCCTTGGAAGCGCCGCTGGAACCACGAGTAGTTCTCGTCGTCGTAGACCCAGAAGGCGTCCTCATCCGCTTCCAGGAAACCTTCTGGCCATCCTCCTCGTCCTTGACCCAGTAGCCTTCATGATTGTCCAAGTATCCTTCATCGATCACAAGGAACGTCTTGCGGCCACCGTGGCCGGAAGGAGCGAGGAGAGGATTGTCGACGGTAGTCTTGGTCGTGCAGAAGATCTCAAGGTAGACCTCACGCAGCTCGGTCACGTTGTAGTCAGCCAAGACTCGGTTCCGATGTGCCATCAATGATGTCAACACCTGCCGCTGATCGATCCTGTGTCAGGTCGGACAGGGAAACAAAAATCAAAGCAACGAGGTTGGCCGTGATCGGAATGGTCCGAGCATGCTGATCTCTGAGCCGTTCGTTGGCTCTCTCCATTGCTTGCTCTGGCGTGAGTCCTTCTTGTTCTTCGGGTGGAAGTCCTGCTATGAAGGCTCTGACCTCTGCATTGTTCGGGTCGACGATCGGCAAATAGGTATCGTTCCACGCTTCTTGCATTCTCTGAACAGAGAGTTGAAACCTGGTAATCCAACGAAGCATGTCTCCATTCCCGCGGTGCATGTTCATGAACTGCTGGAAGCGGATCGCATCTTCGTAGGCAAACCAACTACTTCTACCATCATAAGATGGAGGTACTTTGGTGGTCACCTGCTGGAAAGCTGAAAGACGGTGTAGTTCATTGAGATGACGATGATTAGTCGCGAAAGACTCATTGCCGTGAAGGAGGTAATCATCATCTCCTCCATCATGCTCAAAGATAGTCGCAGAGTGGCTAGCCATGGCGCTGTTCTTGGATCGAGCCCCGGGAGAAACCTCTTCCGGTTATCTTCCCTTAAGTGAAATGTACCGGAGAGACTCCGGTCACCTTCACTTGCGTGAAGCACACCGGGTATTCCGGTTGCCTCCACCTGTGTAGAGAGTACCGAACGGGTACCTCCACAAGTGTGAAGCTTCCCGTTTCCCGGGAGCTCCGCTACCACGTTGAGATGTAACCTGGACGTGTATCCCCTCGCTAGGCGTACAGGAACACAGGCACTCAGGTGTCTCTTTTGCTACAGGCGCACAGCTGTAGTCCACTGCACTAGAACCTTGAGCAACAGGCATGGATACATGCAAGTGATACGTGAAACAGATAGGCACCTGGATGTGTAACATTCAGTGTTTCCCCCCCCCCCCCTGCCAGACCATACCATTGGGGGGGGGGGGGGGGCTGGGAACGCCAGACGCCTGACCATACATGCCTACCTGCCCAACCACGGACCTACCTAGCTACCTACCTACATACACACATACAGCAGTATGTTATGCTTGGTATTGCTACATATTGCTCTTGTGGGTTAGAGTAACTTGTAGCATTTTTACGTTATTTTGCATTACATCACATTATACTATACTATGTTACCTATCAGCTCTCACTTCGTCCAGGCAGCGAGTTTGCTTCACTGCAGTCTGGAAGGAGGTCAGTCGCTTCCTGGCCCAAATCAGACTTCCACAGTGCAGGACCAAGGTGGCATGCAATACATAGTTTATAACTTATAACTTACACTATCATACAATGGAAAGCAAGATATACAATACATGATATGTAATGTACAATATGGCATATAGAGTATAGAGCCATGCAATATGCATAAATACATAGTATACAGGATATAATACAAAGCTTCAGCTCATGAAAAACACTGTCCACCGACGCTCTTGCCCAAGGCAGATTGCGCACTTCACAGTTGCAAAAGACAAGGACTGTGCCTCGGATCCTCGGCAGGGGTCGACACGGTGATCGCTTCGGAGGAGAAAGACCAGATCAGCTCCAGCGAATCCGATTCAGCCTGGGGCTTAGGGTTTAGGGTTTAGGGTTCAGGGTTTAGGGTTTAGGGCTGGCTTTCGTTATGCGGGCAGTGACGGACTCTTGTGCATTTTGGAGGTTGGCGTCAATAAGATCCATGCATACTGCATGGGGCTGTTGACCTTGGACGATTGCATGCCATGATGATTCCCTGCATGCTTACATACATGCATGCATGCATATGCGCATAGATACATACCCACATGCATGACTGCATGCCTGCATACATAGATACATACGGCATACATACATGCTACCTACCTATCTGTCTACCTACTTATCCGTAAACGTTCGTCCATACATGCTTTGCTGCAATGCATGTATGCATGAACAGATACATACTTACATGACACCTGAAGTGAGCTTGCGCCTTGCTTTTCCTGACTCGACTCGTGTGTTTCGGTGCGGCGTATTTACATCTCATCGTCTGGGAGTACAGCCCAAGTTTCACAAACCGCTGATTATCATAGAGTACCACCCATGTTCACGAGTCTGGTGCACTTCAAGAGGTCCAGTAGTCACTATCTTGATCTTTCTCATGACTGAAAACCTCAGCGAATCACGAGCTGGGCCCGACTGCAGTAGGAATTGATTGGGGGACCTGGACTCATCCACAGCCCTGAGAATTGTAATTAAACCTTAGCGGGTCATTGGAGCTGCCTTTGGGCTCGTCTTCCCCTGATGTTCGCCGCGCCTCCGTGAACAAAGGCACGGCCCATTCGATGACGAAGCCCTTGACAGCACCTCCGGGCCAGGGCAGTGAGAGCGCTCACCCACAAGCGCTGCAGCACCCGCAACTCCGCAACTCCTGAATCCTAAACCCCAAGCTGAAAACCAAACCCGAAAGCCCCACACCCTGAATCCTCAACCTTGAGCCTTAAGCCATCATCCCATGGCCTAGGGATCTCAGCAATGACGAGCTCGTTTTGGAGGGGGTGGGCCCGATCTGCGCTTGTCGGAGAACCTGCCAAAGTGTTGCATAGGGTTTCTCAAGGGTCCATACATACGGGTTCGATAAGGGTTTCAGGGTTTGGGGCTTGTGGTTCGGCTTCAGCTTCTTCGTAGAGCTATTCCTTCCAGGGGTGAAGGACATAAGCTTTTGGGTCCATCTCGGTCTCCACAATTCCCCATAACCTGCTTCATTCTGCATTCTAGAGCATTGTAGAACCTACTTTCTGAACCCGAGCCGAAACCGCGGTCCTGAGCAGTGAAGTGGGCGAACAGGAAGAGGCACGCCAGCACAATGACGACAAGGAGTGAGTAGGCGACCCTGTGGGGTTTAGCGTGCAAAAATGTGTAGGGCGGAGAGGCCGCGGGGTCTGAGGACGCGGCATCTGTGGATTCTTGTCGAGTGTCGCGGGTTTAGGTTTCAGGTTTGAGGGGAATCAAGGCTCGTTGGCTCTCACGGGCGAGGTTGGCCAGGCTTCAGCAGAGTGGCGCGTGAGTAGTTGCTGCCGGTGGCTTCAGAATGAGAAGTGACGCCACGGCAAAGAAGAGCAGGAAGCGGATCATGGACAGTGTCACCTGCGGCCAAGCTCCGACTCCGCACAGTGAGTGCAAAATGGACACGACGGCCTCCACAACATCAAGGATTTCAGCTTGATCGTTCGCGTAGGGCTTGACCCAGGAAGCCAAAAACACCTCCACGGGACGGCCAGATTTGGAGCTTGGGTTTCAGGGCTTTGGAGCTTAGGTTTCGGGGCTTGGGGTCTAGATGCGATCGATTTGACGATCATCACCTAGCACAAGTCATCTCACATCTTCCGCACGCGTGGCAATACGTCGAGGTGGGGAATTGGATGATGAGCCATGTGTGACCGGCAGCAGAGCCGGGCTTCGGCGCCTGGAAGCCGGAGAGGGCGGGGAAGAGCATGAGCTTGCCCTTCGGATCCGGCACGACCGAAGTGTAGGTGAGAAGCATCATCAAGGCCACGTCCTTATTATTGGTAGTACACAGACTAGTCACTAGACTCGCAAAACTTTACATCTTTCAGCGAACCGCGTCGGATGATGATACAGCGGCACCCTCAAAGCTTCTGAGGCGAGGTCCAAACGTTTCACGAGGAGGTCCCACCACCAGAATTTCGGCTCCAGGCCCTGGAAGAAGTAGCCGAAGCGCCTTGCAGGGGCCCAGAACCCTGAGGGGCCTTCATCATCCAGCCCTCGCTCTCTCATACCCCAAACCGTCTGCCCTTCTAAGCATTTCTCTCCCTCCCTCTCTCTCTCTCTCTCTCTCTCTCTCTCTCTTTCTCTCTCTCTCTCGCTCTCTCTCGCTCTTTCAGGCATGGGGGACTCTCTCACCGGTCGCCTGAAGTTCTCTGGAGCCTGTCTGTCTGGGATGCGCAGCAGCAGGACGGCCAGCGTCAGCGGGATGCCAACGCACCAAACCACAAGCCCGGCAATCGCGATGCGGGCGGAGACGAAGTGCTCGTCGGACCAGCAAATGACGGAGGGGTTGGGCAGCAGTCGGTTCACGATGACATCGTCTTCCGGCACTGGAACACACCAGATCATTTGAAGAAAGCTGGACAGTAGCCCAGGCCATAGAGAGACCAGGCTCACCCAGATGACTGGAATGCTCTGCCGTGCAAGCTGGCCGAAACGAGGTGCCGCTGAGAATAGGCCAAAGTCCAGAGAGTCCACCACCTGCGAATCCCACACGCACAAGCAGGTCTAGCTAAGGCTGTGCTGTACAAGTAGTGTGGTTCTCAGCGCAGCACCGTATCCACCATGGGGCTCAAGTCGTGCTTCGATACCGCAATCTGCACCTCGTGCGGCCTCAGTGCAAGCTGCCGTTGCTGTAGTTCTCTGCAGCTGACGCACGGTGCAAATTCGACTATAGCCGGCACCGTAGGCATCATGACCTGCTCAGTTGCGGCATGTCTCAGGAGGGGGCGCGTCGTCCGTAGCCTGCAAAGCGCCTTCGGCCGCCTCGCATCCAGCTGAAGGCTCAGAGCCCTCCTTGAGATGCTCCTGTGCGTCGTTCTCTTCGGAGTCTTCCAAAGCTTCAGCGCCGGTGAAGGCGACGCCGGTCTGCACTTCATCCAAGACCATATCCAGCATGCTGGTGAAAGTCACGAACTGCGAGGCAAAATCGGTCGTCAGGAAAGGCCGCAGATCTACCTGTGCAAGCGGGACATCCGGAAAACCGATCGAATAACTCTCTCTGAGCTCTGTCTGGGCGGGCATGGCGGGTGCGGATGCGGGTGCGCCTGCGCCAGCTCCTCGTGCACCTTTTGCGCCTCGGCCTGCGGCCGAAGTTGGGCCGCTCGGGCGGCGCAAGCCCTCAGGAGGAGCTCCCGGGATCCAATCACCGCGTGGCAAAGGAAGGCGTCGAGATCCTCGGCTGCAAGCTGCACCTGAGCCACAGTGTGGAAATGCAAGGCGCCCGAGCGCTCGAGGTCGACCCAAGAGAAGGTGACGGTGGGAGCGTTCGATGTCGGAGCAACGGCAGGAAGGCCGGACGTCTTCGGAAAAGCCTCACCCAGCATCTGATCCATTGCCTCACGCAGGCTTTGCATCGCCTTGGCCTTCCTGCGATGGCGGCGTCCAGCTTCGTTGAAAGCGAAGCCCAAGCGCTGGCCCGAAGGCACCAGGCCATGCACCACCAGCAAAGAGAGCAGCACTATGCCGAGAATCACCAGCAAAGGCAGGATGAGATAGTACACCCCAACGGCCAAGCTCGGAGCCGTGCTTTGGGAAGAGAACTCCTGACAAGCCGACGGAAGGCCAGCTGGGGGTTTCTCCCCATGCCAAAAGGCTTCTCTTAAGTCTTAGAGTAACCCCGCGCCTGTGCCAGGCACTGCGCTGCCGAGTCGATGGAGGTCAAGACGGGGGTCAGCGTGAGGGTCTCGAAGAGGCCTAGCATCGCTGCGGTGACCTGTGCGGGCCACGGGAAGAGCCGAGCATCCTCCTCTCTGGACCAGGTCTCCGTGTCCTCGTTGATAGGTATCCTGAGTTCGTGTTGGGGATATGACTCCAGTACATCAGCGCAAACCATGTGCTTTCCGCTTCAGGGCAGCTCGAGCTGCGTTGCTCGAAGAGAGTTCGTCACAGCTTGCATAACATATCCCCCAAACCCTAAAGCCTACGGCCCTTTGCTTTAAAACCTCAAACCCTAAACCGCAAACCCCTCAACCCTCAACCTTAAGTCTCAGACTCTAAACTCTGAACCCAGTATCTGGGTCAGGTCGAAGGTTGCCAGCACCGAGCAGACAGCCAGCCACTGGGTGGCGATGCGGATCATAACCTTAGAGGCGCTTAAGAAATATGAGGACTACACAAGGTGAGGACTACAGAATTAGAGGGAGGTGCTGAAGGAGTACAAGGACTAACATGAAGGGACTAGATAGGCACTACTGTTGGGATTGACTCTTCCAGGCTCAAGCAAGTCACTGTGTGAAGCTTGCTGCTTGCTCTGACGGCAGCTGTTGCCGCCATGGACGCCACGACGAAGCTGACGGTGGCCTCCGGGTCAATTGTGGCATCTTATGGTGTCTTACAATATCTTATGGTCACTTACGGTCGAGTGCTCTGGCACCACTTCTAGGCTAGCTCCATCTTTCAGGCGTTGCGGATTTAACCTGCGGCAACTTGGTGAACGAACGCGCCGCCTTCGTCCCAACATCGATGATAACTGCGGCAATCAGTGGCATAGCAGAACTGGTAGCACACGGTTCGCAGGGCCGCTGGAAGGCACTCCTGGCCCAGCCGTATGGGCACTCGCCACATAAGAAGCCAGTGGAGCCTTCGTCGCAGGCATTGCCATACCTACCGAAGCAGTCCACTGCGTCATCTTGTTCGCACGGCTGCCCTCCGAGGCAAGTGCTTAGGCCAGTGGCCGTGACCGCGGTGCACTTCACGGTGATGGTCTGTCCTGTCTGGAAGTGCCCCGGCCGAGCGACAGGCAGCGTGTGGTTGCCAGTCTGAGTGATGCCCGCCTGAGTGTGAAAACCACCCAAGCACTGCAGATGAGGAAGGAAGGCACAACTGGCGCACCTGGCTAACCATCCTGCTTCATCCAGAACTGCATAGAATCCCGCCACGCAGAAACAGTCTCTCAAATCGGTGGACGCATTGGCACTCTCGCCATTTGTGGGGCACTGTAATGGGCAAGATGGATCGTTAGCCAGCGTGGGCTTGTAGCGTCCAGGTTGGCAAGGCTCACAGATGGCCCGAGCTTCAAGGGCATAGTACCCCGGGTTGCACAAGCAGTCTGCTTGTTGGAGGGAGCCCACGCGTGAGGTAGCATTCTCCGGGCACCGTATCTCTTCACCCTGGCCCGGGCAAAAAAAGCCTGCTCTGCAGACTCGGCAGGCATCGCCCTCTGCTGCCAGACCTGACCGGCATCGACAATCAAGGGGAGACGTGGCGGCCTGCACCGAGGTCTTGTTGGCGGAACACCGGCTGCAGGGGGTGTCTCCCACCAGCGCTTTGTATTCGCCCGGAGCGCATTCGGTGCACTTGTTTATCTCCTCGTCCAAGCCATAGCCGGGAAGGCATCTGCAACGCTCTGTGTTGCCAGTGCCGTTACTGAAGCTGCCACTGCCGCACGGCGAGCACGGGAAGTCTCCAACGCTGCCCTTGAAAAATCCAACGGGACATGGGGTGCAAAGCCCGTCTTCCAAGAAGCTGCCGGCCCTGCAAACGCACTGGGACTCGTCGGCTGAAGTGTCGCTCTCGGTGGTCTGGGACGCGGCGCACGGCTGCCGGGCCTGCAGGCCCCCTGTGCAGAAGAAGCCCACGCCGCAGGCTTCGCAAACTGCCGGGTTGTCAGGCTGCGTGTTGAAAAAGCCGGGCATGCAGGTACAGGACCCAAGGCCGGTGGCTCCCTCCTCCAGTCATTGAGCAGGTATGCCGTGCAACCGACAAGACAAGAAGGAGAAGACATCTCATCCAGCTACCTACGAACGACCTGCAGACGACCCGCCTGCAACGTCGAAGAGCCAGCGGGGCACGCCAGGCAGATGGTGCTCTCTGCATCCCAGTAGCGCCCTCGAAGGCAAAGGCAGTCGGGGAGTTGGCCTCGGTGGAAGAACACAGCTGAGTGACATGCCGACGCTCAGTTGTGCTCTGTGAGATGAGAGCAGCGCATGCAATGCTCGCAGTATCTCGCAGTGCTGAGGGGCGGACTTGAGCCCACTGCCGAAGTGCTCGCCGACGGGCAGCTTTGGACTTCGGATCCTCCGGGGCAGAAGAAGTTCGGTGGGCAGGGCAGGCAGGAAGAGCCGGGCCCTTCGCTGTACTCGCCGGGCGGGCAGAGGACCTCCAGGCTCAGGGCGACCACGAGAAAGTCCTCCGCCGAAGCGCAAGGGGCCGCCGCCGCAGGGCACCAGCAAAGCTCCAGAGCTTCCGGCTTGAGGCCCTCCGAAGGGTCCAGGAAGCCCACGTGCAAGGTGTGCCAACCATACGACTCGTTGAAGGAGACGCCGACCGAACGCCGGGGGTAGGTAGAAGAAGAGGCCTCAGGCTCTCCATTGCATCGGCCACGCATCACGAGGCTGTCGTTCACGGAGATGCCGACTCCTCGCCACCCGGCGATCGTGCAATCTGTCCCAAGGTAGCAGCGAGCGGACTGGCGCAGCTGCGGCCCCTCCACGATAAAGTAGGCCACCGTCACACTGAAGTTGTCGGGGTGGCTGCAGTTGACGTCACACCAGCAGAGGCGGTGATGACCCGGTTCTGTGAAGAAAGGGGATGCATTTCCTGCGAACATCCAGAGACCCTCCTCCTCCGCTTCAGAGAGCAGCGTAGGGAGTCCTGCCAAGAAATCCGGGTCGGAGCAGTTGCGTTTCGCGGCCACAGAGCCGGAGGCATTCCGGCGGAAGGAACAGTTGCGGCCCTGCTGGCAGTGGACCAGCAAGGGCGGGTTGGTCTGACTGACCACGTATCGCCAGGTTTGCTGCAAGTAGGAGGCATTGAAACCGCCGAAGGACAGCAAGCCGCGAGAAGCGAAGTCCCAAACAACGCCATGACCCGTACGGCCACTTGGGCCCACGACCTGACTTTGCAAACCCTCCTCCTTCCAAGAGTTCGTCAAGAGGGTGTAGTTGTATATGGAGGCATCGTAGCTGAGGTCGTTGCTCACATTGGTGATCCCACCCATGACCAGCATGCTCATCGAAACGGGGTCCCACGCGGCGGCATGCCCAGCGCGAGCAGTGGGCCAAGATCCTGCAGCTGACAACTCGGCCCAGGTGCCTGCCGAAGCATCGTAGCTGCACAGGCCATCCAGATATTGCTGCCCAGTCCACCCGCCAAAAACGAGCATGGAGCGGGTTGTGGGCACCCAGACGGCAGTGTGTCGACTGCGGGCTCCGGGACCTGTCGCCCCAGACTTGCTCCATTGGCCGTCCGCCAAACTGTAGCGCTGGAGGTCCTCCAGCACCTGGCTACCGCTCTCACCTCCAAAGACGAGCACGGCCCTCTCCACGGGGTCCAGGATCGCAGTGTGGTAGGCGCGTGCCGATGACTTCGCCAAGGCTGGCAATTGCCTCCAAGCGCTGTCCTCGCTGCGAAATTGCCAGACATCGTCGTAGAAGGTGACCTGGAACCGGCCGCCAAACACCAGCATAGACCTGGAATGCGCGTCCCACACGGCCGCGTGGCCCCATCTGGCGCCGGGGGCGGCACCCCCACTCAACGGCAGGATCTCCGTCCAAGCTCGTCGAGGCCAGTCGTAGCGCCACAAGTCCGCAAAGTAGAGGAAGGCGTTGCTGGCGTGGCCCCCGAACATCCATGCAGACTGCGTCTCGCTGTCCCAGACCAGAGAAGCGTCCTGGCGCCCGGCGGGGCTTGCGGCGGGTGTGAAGTCGCTCCAGGCATCCGACGCGCACTGGATACCTGCACTGAGAACAGCCACCAACAAAAACCGCAAAAAATAACATCACATGATCGTCATGCCTTCACCTCCACGTCAATTGCACTTGCAGTGCAAGGGCTCGTCTACAAGCAGTCTTACCGTAGCCCTAGCTTTCACTTCAGCGGCCTGCGACTTCTTCAGGAGCGCAGTCGTGCACATGCCACCCACGGAAGATGCAGTCGCGAAGGCTCACTTCTGCCCCTGTACACCTGATGTTGTCAGCAAGGATGGTGCCGGCCCCCGCAGCACCCCACATTGCCAAGGCTGCCAGGGCCCTGCCGCCGGCCAGGCCGAGATCACGGCAGGCCACTTGCGCCACCCGATCGTCGAAGCCATCATCGCAGACCAGGCCCACAGAAGCGCCGTGCTGCAGCTGAAGTAGCCCTGTGGCAAAGCCATGGTCTTCGGCGACGGCAAGCAAGCTGAGACCCTGAAGGCCAGCACCGAGGGTCAGGCGGAAGAGCTCCGCAGGCACCAAAGCCACACCAAGCTCGCCAGGCACCTGGCCGACGCTGAGGCTGCTGCCAATGCCCAGCTGCCCAGCACTGCCCGCGCCCCAGCACCTGGGCAGCTTCCATGTGCAAAACTCACGGTTTGGGGCACCTACAAGTTTTGCCGCGAACTGCAGGCACCTCGTGGTGTCGTCGTTCAAGAGCACGCAGGTGTGGCCGACACCGGTGCCCACATCCCGCACCTCGCGGTTGCCGAGGCCGACCGCGCGGAGCCTGGAGCCCATTTCTGAAGGCTCATCTCCCAAGTCCTCCAGGTTGCCCTGGCCAAGCCTCCAGGTCTTGCGACTGAATCAAAAGCAGCCCAGCACCCTTCCCCCAACTGAGGCCCAGGCTGGCCACTCCATCCCCGGCCCCAGCACTTCAGGTTTGCATCTTGAAGGACAGCACAGGTGTGATAACTGCCACTCGAATCCGCGATGCGGACAACCGTCACCCCATCGCCCATATCTGTAATAGGAAGACTGGTGCCCATCTCACTGGGCTGGTCGCCCGCATCTTGAAGGTTGCCGTGCCCCAGTTGACCCCGGCCATTATCACCCCAGCACTTGACAGAGCCGTCGGACAGGACCTGACGCATGCACGTGCACGATACGATAGAACGAGTCCAGTGCACTGGATGCGGGCAAGCGGCGGCGCAGGTGTGGAATGCCCCGGCTGCGATTTGCACAGCAGGAAGGGGGCCCAAGTCCACTACAGGTAAGGCATCGCCCATCTCGTTGGGGTTGGTTCCGATGTAGCGTCCACCATCGCCAAGTCCTAGTCCCAGGCGGTTGCTCTGTCCCCAACATTTGACGGCACTCTGGCTTGAGAGAGCACAGCTGTGGGCATATCCCAAGGCCAGCTGCACTGCTTCGAAGTCGGTGCCCAGGTCCACCACTGGGAGCTCCGAGCCCATCTCGCCGTGCTCGTCGCCGCGGTTCTCCCTCAGGTGCGTTGCGCACACTCAACTCTGTCAAGCACCATGCCATGTCAGTGAAGTGGCAGATAGAACCTCTGGGGCCCGGGCTCGTCTCCCAAGCCCAGCAGACGTCCCTGGCCAAAGCACTTCACGCGCCCGCCTCGAAGCAGAGCGCAGGTGTGGTCGATACCAGCAGCCACGTGCACCACCTCCACACCGGTGCCCAGGTCCACCGCTGGCAGGTGCTGGCCCATCTCCAAGGGCTCGTCGCCAACATGGCGGGTGTGTCCGTAGCCAAGCTTGCCATAACTGCCACTCCCGAAGCATTTCAGGACGCCCGTCTCGAGAACTGCGCAGGTGTGCCATTGACCGCAAGACACTTTCGTCACTCGAACGCCCGGCTCTCCGAGATCCACGGCCGGCAGGTTCTCGCCCATCTCACCGGGAGCGGTGCCCACATTTGCTTCGCCGCCGTAACCCAAGCGGCCGTTACGTCCAGATCCCCAGCACTTCAGGAGGCCCTCGGCCTTGAGAACTGCACAGTTGTGGTAGCCACCAGAAGAAAGGCTCAGGAACTCTGCCGGCGCTGCTTCAGGGCCCTCCCAGGCGAGGATTCCGTCCAAAGCTACTTCGGAGTCCCCGCTAAGCGCCCCGGAGCTCACGAAACGGAGCATCTCCACCCCACTTGGGAGCCTCACCTTGGCCTGAAGCCAGTCGGCCCCTTGGTTTCCTTGCCGGGACCAGCGCGAGCTCCACCTGCCGCCTTTCAGGTACCATAGCTCCAGCTTGCCGACGCCACCACCAAGCATGTGATAGGCGAACTCCAGGTAGGAGACGTTGCGGGGCTTCGGGAAGAGCGGGCTGGTGAGCCTGAACACCTGCCCACGAACGGTTCCTGCATAAACATAGCTCTCGGCGTGGAAGGCGGCCTGGGGCCCCGTGACAGGCTGGTTTGGGGAGGGACCGCTTCGGCGCCCCCAGTCTCCCCGCCAGTTGCACATGTCCTGTTCGAATGTGCAGCCCACTTCCGCCAGAGCTCCAGCCGACTCGATGGCCAACAAGGAATCCAGCTTCACCGTGGCGAGATCACCGGTGACGTTGGCCACGAAGCGGAGGCCTACGGTAAAACCAGGGATGATGACAACGGCGCCGTTCCAAACCGCGCTGCGGCCACCTGACTGCAACAGCAAGCGCTGCCAGCCGAAAGCAGAGGTTTGGTGCTGCACCTCCAACGTAACGGTATTCGAGCCGGACAGCTGATAGTCGAAAACCAAGGCCTTCTCCTCGGTGGTGTTGAAGAGTGCTGCCGTCTCCAAGATGAATTCCGAAGCGTGGGAAGTGTTCCCAGAAGCCTCCAGCCACTGGCCAGACCCATCCCCCTCAAGCTGCCACGAAGAGGCGCCATTGCTTCGCCAAAGGCAGGTGTCGAAACTGAAGTCACACGTGAGCTGAGAGAACTCCACGGTGGGCAGTCCAGTGCCGATTGCGTCCACGGCCATATCGCCCCACCAGCCGCCGTCATACGTGGTCCCCACGAAGCGCAGTGCCGTGATGTTTGGCGGCAAGACCACCAATGCCAGCTGCCACTGCGGGCCTTTGTCACCCGTTCGCGACCATAGCTGAGTCCACCCGGCGCTGCTGAAAGCTTCCAGCCGCAAGCGGCCCATGTCCTCCCCGCGCATGTGGAAGTGGAAGTGGAGATGCCGGATGGCCTCGGACGGCTCGAACACGCTGCTGGTGAGGACGAAGTCCTGTAGACATCACGCAGTCCAAGCAATTCAGGCTAGTCAGGCTCAATCTTGCTCCTAAGACTTGAGACGCTGGACTCAGTTCACATGCGACCAGTGGATGTTGCGTCCGAATCTAACATGCTGTTACTCACTCAGCCGATCATCAATCGGAGCATCCGGCCTGATCCTCAGCCCAGGACTCCACATAAGCATACCATCCGCCCTGAGCCGCCAGGGCCGGGCCAGTCTTTCTCCAGTCACTGGCAGTGTTTCGCAGCCAGGGATGCTCGCCGGTGGACCAACCGCAGAAGTCGACTTCGAAGTCACAAGCAACTTCTGTAAAAACACGCGGAAAATGGAGTGAGTCGATACGCACAACATCTGCCTCCCCAGTGACATTGGCCACGAAGCGGAAGCCGACACTGCCAACAGGCACGGCAACTGTGGCGGTGTGCCAAACAGCGCCGCGGCCACCCGACTCCAACAGCAATCGCTGCCAGCCATCAGCGGAGGTCTGGTGCTGCACCTCCAATGCCACGGTATCTGAGCCGGACAGCTGGTAGTCGAAAACCAAGGCCTTCTCCTCGGTGGTGTTGAAAAGAGCCGCGGTCTCCAGGACCCAATCCGACGCGTGGGAACTGTTCCCAGAAGCCTCCAGCCAATGGCCATCGGCATCCCCCGCAAGCTGCCATGAAGAGGCGCCGGTGCTTTGCCACAGGCAGGCATCAAGAAGGAACTCGCAGGCGAGCTGAGCGAACTCCACGCTGGGCGGCCCAGTGCCGATTGCGTCCAAGGCCATATCGCTCCACCAGCCGCCGTCATATGTGGTCCCCACGAAGCGCAATGCCGTGACGTTTGGTGGCAAGCGTGCCACGGCCAGCTGCCACATTTGGCCTTGCTCTCCCGCTCGTGACCACAGCTCCGTCCACCCAGCGCTGCTGAAAGCTTCGAGCCGCAAGCGGCCCATGTCCTCCCCGTGCATGTGGAAGTGGAAATGGAGATGTCGGATGGCCTCGGACGGCTCGAACACGCTGCTGGTGAGGACGAAGTCCTGTAGACATCACGCAGTCCGAGCAATTCAGGCTAGTCAGGCTCAATCTTGCTCCTAAGACTTGAGACGCTGGACTCAGTTCACATGCGACCAGTGGATGTTGCGTCCGAATCTAACATGCTGTTACTCACTCAGCCGATCATCAATCGGAGCATCCGGCCTGATCCTCAGCCCAGGACTCCACATAAGCATACCATCCGCCCTGAGCCGCCAGGGCCGGGCCAGTCTTTCTCCAGTCACTGGCAGTGTTTCGCAGCCAGGGATGCTCGCCGGTGGACCAACCGCAGAAGTCGACTTCGAAGTCACAAGCAACTTCTGTAAAAACACGCGGAAAATGGAGTGAGTCGATACGCACAACATCTGCCTCCCCAGTGACATTGGCCACGAAGCGGAAGCCGACACTGCCAACAGGCACGGCAACTGTGGCGGTGTGCCAAACAGCGCCGCGGCCACCCGACTCCAACAGCAATCGCTGCCAGCCATCAGCGGAGGTCTGGTGCTGCACCTCCAATGCCACGGTATCTGAGCCGGACAGCTGGTAGTCGAAAACCAAGGCCTTCTCCTCGGTGGTGTTGAAAAGAGCCGCGGTCTCCAGGACCCAATCCGACGCGTGGGAACTGTTCCCAGAAGCCTCCAGCCAATGGCCATCGGCATCCCCCGCAAGCTGCCATGAAGAGGCGCCGGTGCTTTGCCACAGGCAGGCATCAAGAAGGAACTCGCAGGCGAGCTGAGCGAACTCCACGCTGGGCGGCCCAGTGCCGATTGCGTCCAAGGCCATATCGCTCCACCAGCCGCCGTCATATGTGGTCCCCACGAAGCGCAATGCCGTGACGTTTGGTGGCAAGCGTGCCACGGCCAGCTGCCACATTTGGCCTTGCTCTCCTGCTCGTGACCACAGCTCCGTCCACCCAGCGCTGCTGAAAGCTTCGAGCCGCAAGCGGCCCATGTCCTCCCCGTGCATGTGGAAGTGGAAATGGAGATGTCGGATGGCCTCGGACGGCTCGAACACGCTGCTGGTGAGGACGAAGTCCTGTAGACACCACGCAGTCTAAGCAATGCAGGCTAGTCAGGCTCAATCTTGCTCCTAAGACTTGAGACGCTGGACTCAGTTCATGCGACCAGTGGATGTTGCGTCCGAATCTAACATGCTGATACCCACTCAGCCGATCATCAATCGGAGCATCCGGCCTGATCGTGAGCCCAGGACGACACATGAGCGTACCAATCGGACTGAATCGCCGATGACGGTCCAGTGTCTGTCCAGTCACTGGCAGTGTTTCGCAGCCAGCCATCCTCGCCGTCCTCGCCGGTGGACCACCCGCAGAAGTCCACCTCACAGATTCTCAAAAAGCACAGTGAAACATAGCTGTTGGAGGGCCTCCCTGGCCGCCGGCCTCGAAGCTGCAGCTGACGGTGGCGTCCCATGAAGCCTGCAGTGCTCTGGACCGATACTCCTTCGTGTCACGCATGGGTTCAGGTCCATTCGGTGATGCAGAGGTGGCGAGCAACGTGCTCCTGGGAAGGGTGGCTGGAACTCGTAGGGCAAAGGATCCGCGTGGACCCGCCCTGTGAGGTCGTCTGCCACTGCAGTCGGATGCGGCCGCGACTCGAGCTTTCTCCCGCCTCGTCCTTCTGCACTCCATTCAGAAAGGCATGCACCTCCGTCAACCTGCCGAGCGGAAGCAGCAAACCCTAAATGTTCAAGCCATCCGCGGTGCAATGGCATGGCTTCGAGGAGTGCCTGCTACCAGGTGCAACTTTGACGACGCAGCTTTGCAAGATCGGAAGCTCGTTCGTGACGATGCAATCGGCTGCCCCAATTGCACACGGCCTCGGTCGGAGTCACAAGCACAAGAGCTCACGCAAAGGTCGTTACCGGAAGGTTCACAAGTAACTCAATAGGTTCGGGTGTGCGAGCCTGGCGTTGGTTTAAGGCACCGATTGAAAGCTACCGCTTGAAGCCCTCCTTTTGACCGTTGTATAAGTCCTTACAAACCCTCGTACAGCTTCCAGAACCTGATACACCGTGTAAACCCTTATGAAACCCAATCAAAGCCTGGACATCTGCCCTTGCTAAAGTAGCGTTGCTTAGTTTTTGATGGAAGGCACAAGGACATGCTTCATTTCGGTGTTCCTTGATATCGGGTTTTGTACGAAAACATCCCGAGACTGGGACGAGCTCGCGACGAGATGCGTTCTGTGTTGCCAATGGGCGTCAACACGGATTAGCATTTCAATTGGAGTGTGGACCTTGCTCTGAGCTGGGAGGCCTTCGTCTTCAGGCTTGAAAAGCTTCAAAAAGGTGTGCAGGTTTTGCAGCCCGCAAGACTTCAATTTGGTCAGTGGAGGACCTGTGCGAAGAAGACCTCAAGAAAGCTTCGGAAGCTGGGCGGCAGATTGCAAATGCCAAGGCCAAGGCACTGAGAGCTTTTGGGAGATGTTGCTTCACCGTTTGAAGTTGTTACGCCAAGAGATTTTGCGGACATCTTGGTTGGAACTGTAGTCTAGGATCCTAGAAGAGGTAAGAAGACAGAGAGAGCGTCTGCAGGCGTTTTGCAAAGCTTTGTTTGACTGCGCGGTGGAACTGCACTGTGCTTCCAGTGGCTGCTCTTGCTTGCGACGTCTTGAGGACCAAAACCACGCTTCGCAATGTTGAAAGCACAGGAGCATCTGGGCTGCGGACCCACTGACCATCATCCAGGTAGGCGAGCCTTCACAGCACAGCACCGTTTCAACTCTGCTCTCTGCGAAGACATGGGGGCCAGGAAAAACTTCGTGAAGTGGAGAGAGTCTCGTCTACTCCGGCCTTGAGCCACGGCGGCCGACATCTCGCCCTCCGATCTCGCCACCAGAGCCTCCTCACGAAGCAGAGCAGGATTCTCTGTCAGAGCAGACTAGGATGCATCTCACAGTTCCCGCCTCTCCCGACAGCTCCTTTTCCGGAGATGCCTCAAGGAGGCAAAGGTTTGTAGGGTCTCTTCGAAATTTGCCTCCGCCCCGGCCCCCCTCTTGGCATGGCACTCTTTCCTCGGATTCCGCGAGGCACAGCTTCCAGCGCTGGAGAGCCTTCCGGGTTTGAGCTGAGGGAAGTTCTCCAAAAAAGTAGGACCCAACCGTGCAAGCGGAGAAATGAGACAGCGGGCCTTGTTGTCGGCTTTGCTGCTGGAATCTGCGAGGACCTCAAGCAACAGCAGATGGCATGTATGACTTCAGACACGGTTAGGAAAGCAAAGCCCAGTTGTTCTCAATTGGCGAATCATTTCTGCCTCCGGGATGTCTCTGGTCGCGAAGGGTATGATCTCGATGGCAATGGACCTTCAGCATGCTAGCTGGGATTTTGTTCATGTGGGGAGTATCTGATGTGGGGGTCTTGAAGAGACGGATCCCGCCATTTCGGGGTTGATATTGGGTCCCCCCATTTTTCAGACTCTCATTTCAGAAATAGCTGTAAGCCTAGCAAAGGAAGATGAAAAGGCTGCAACAAACCATCATCGTCATCATGCTGACTAACGATCTAGTGCAACCGTATATCTTTGGGCAGGTGGGTGCCAACCCATCATGTCGCAGATGTGTCTCGCGTAAAGCATGCCAATGTTGCAGCAAGCAAGCGGTCATAACCTGAGATCGTTTGTGAGTGACATTGGGAAACTTCTCGACATGTGCTGTGTTCAGCTGTTTCTGTCAAGTTTGTGACAGGCAACAAGTGTCCATAGCAAGAGATGTGTTCACAGGTTTGAGATGTCAGTAAACCGCACAAGCACACTCAAGTTGTGTTCTTTTTTCACTCCGATCTCATTGCTATGAGGTGCGTGAAACCGACTCCTGTTGACATAGATGCACTCGGTCACTTCAAACATGGTATTCAACTGAACCGCTGGGTAAAAAGGCGGTCGACATCCACGCATCTGCACTCAAGGACCACACAACAAGTGTGTGTTTTCAGCGTATGACATGAATCACGATCTGTGCACCTGTACTTCCACAGGCAGAGTGCAATGCTTCATAATTCAAACGACACCTACATCAAGAAACCTCTCAATCGAACACCGCGTGATCTGCACCCTGCTTTCCTTCAAATGCACAATCTTTCAGCACGTGATAGTACCTTACGAGCACGGCGACCGTGGACGCGCCGAACGCCGTGCAAAACCTGCCTAGTTGCCCGACGGTCCAGCTTGAACAAGACAAGACGTCAAAACAGTCACCTTAGGCTCAACAGCCGCCCCCAACTGTACAAGCAAGCAAGAAGAATCAAGAAGAGCCACCCAAGCTTAGAGCCTGGAGGACAAAGCCTTGGGGCCCCACGCCCGTGAACTAGGGGACAAGGTGTGCCGTATCCACTCCCCTCGCAAGTTACAGCGCCGCAGCTCACTTGCCTTCGGGGGGACCGACGAGACCACCTTGAGAACAAGGTGTGCCGTATCCACTCCCCTCGCAAGCCGCAGTACCGCAACTCACTTACCTTCGGGGGGACCGACGAGACCACCCCGGTCCCTACAGGACTGAAGGCTCGACAAGACCAAATCGCACATGTTATGTCTCGCGTAGAGCATGCCAATGTCGCAGCAAGCAAGCGGTCATAACCTGAGACTGTTTGTGAGCGAAGTTGGAAAATTTCTCGACATGTGTTGTGTTCAGCTGTTTCTGTCAAGTTTGTCACAGGCAACATATGTCAGTAGCAAGAGATGTGTTCACAGGTTTGAGATGTCAGTAAACCGCACAAGCACACTCAAGATGTGTTCTTCTTTCAGTCCGACATGCTTGCTGTGAAGTGCGTGAAACCGATTCTTCTGACATAGATGCATTCGCTCGCTTCAAACAGTTTATGCAACTGAGCCTTCCTGTTATCGATATGTGCATTCTTTCTTAGGGGTCAAAAAACGGCGTCGTCGACACCTCCACGCATCTGCACTCAAGCACCGCACCACAAGTGTGTGTGTTCAAGCGTAAAACATGAATCACGATCTGGGCACCTCTACTTCCACAGGCAGAGTGCAATGCTTCATAATTCAAACGACACCTACATCAAGAAACCTCTCAATCGAACACCGCGTGATCTGCACCCTGCGTTCTTTCAAACGCACATTCATTCATCACGTGCTAGTACCTTACAAGCAAGGCGACCGTGGACGCGCCGAACGCCGTACAAAACCTGCCTAGTTGCCCGACGGTCCAGCTTGAACAAGACAAGACGTCAAAACAGTCACCTTAGGCTCAACAGCCGCCTCCAACTGTACAAGCAAGCAAGAAGAATCAAGAAGAGCCACCCAAGCTTAGAGCCTGGAGGACAAAGCCTTGGGGCCCCACGCCCGTGAACTAGGGGACAAGGTGTGCCGTATCCACTCCCCTCGCAAGTTACAGCGCCGCAGCTCACTTGCCTTCGGGGGGACCGACGAGACCACCTTGAGAACAAGGTGTGCCGTATCCACTCCCCTCGCAAGCCGCAGTACCGCAACTCACTTACCTTCGGGGGGACCGACGAGACCACCCCGGTCCCTACAGGACTGAAGGCTCGACAAGACCAAATCGCACATGTTATGTCTCGCGTAGAGCATGCCAATGTTGCAGCAAGCAAGCGGTCATAACCTGAGACTGTTTGTGAGTGAAGTTGGAAAACTTCTCGACATGTGTTGTGTTCAGCTGTTTCTGTCAAGTTTGTCACAGGCAACATATGTCAGTAGCAAGAGATGTGTTCACAGGTTTGAGATGTCAGTAAACCGCACAAGCACACTCAAGATGTGTTCTTCTTTCAGTCCGACATGCTTGCTGTGAAGTGCGTGAAACCGATTCTGCTGACATAGATGCATTCGCTCGCTTCAAACAGTTATGCAACTGAGCCTTCCTGTTATCGATATGTGCATTCTTTCTTAGGGGTCAAAAAACGGCGTCGTCGACACCTCCACGCATCTGCACTCAAGGACAGCACCACAAGTGTGTGTTTTCAAGCGTAAAACATTAATCACGATCTGGGCACCTCTACTTCCACAGGCAGAGTGCAATGCTTCATAATTCAGACGACACCTACATCAAGAAACCTCTCAATCGAACACCGCGTGATCTGCACCCTGCTTTCTTTCAAATGCACAATCCTTCAGCACATTCTAGTACCTTACGAGCAGGGCGACCGTGGACGCGCCGAACGCCGTACAAAACCTGCCTAGTTGCCCGACGGTCCAGCTTGAACAAGACAAGACGTCAAAACAGTCACCTTAGGCTCAACAGCCGCCCCCAACTGTACAAGCAAGCAAGAAGAATCAAGAAGAGCCACCCAAGCTTAGAGCCTGGAGGACAAAGCCTTGGGGCCCCACGCCCGTGAACTAGGGGACAAGGTGTGCCGTATCCACTCCCCTCGCAAGTTACAGCGCCGCAGCTCACTTGCCTTCGGGGGGACCGACGAGACCACCTTGAGAACAAGGTGTGCCGTATCCACTCCCCTCGCAAGCCGCAGTACCGCAACTCACTTACCTTC